TTTATAGAATTTTTGCAGCAGATTAAATATCTCTTCAAAAACATTTTTTATGCACATAAAATTCCTCTTTTTTTAAAATTTAATATCAAATTAATAACAAAAACATATGGTGTGATGCATTACATAATGAAAAGAAAAGAAAATCACGGAGCTAACAAAAAAGAAAATAGAGGTATGGTGTTGCAGAGAATGAGTATCATTAACTGTGTGTGTGTGTGTGTGTGTGTGTGTGTGTGTGTGTGAGAGTGTGAGCAGAAATGGTAATATGAACGACATTGAGTATGTAGATCAATAAAATAAAGTAAAAAGAAAAACAGAACACAAGTATACAAACCAAGAACAAAACAAAAAAAGCAACAACAAATATATAAATATATATCTATTAATACTAGCAATAAGAATAACACATCTATAAATTATATATATTGAACTTTTAAAATTACTCTTTAAAAGTTCACCAGGTTACACTTTGAATGTTTCAAAATGCTTTCTTCAATTAACAAAATAGGAAGGAACCGTTCGTGCATGTCTGTCTGTCAGAGGCCGAGCACCAAAGACGACTGTCCAGCTTCAGGACGTAGAGAGGTGAGTTTTAGTAGTGATGTTTTCAGTTCAGTGGATGAAAGAAAATACATCCCAACCAGATCGTTTGATGAAATGGACGCCCAGCATGCCCCCCCCAGGTCTGAAGGGTGGCATATTATTATGCACTGAAACCTACTAACACTTGAAATCTGTTTTGATTTTTTTTTTTGTTTTGTTTTTTTGTTTGTTTTTTTTATAAGGTAAACGATGCATAAAAATACATTTTGTCAAAATGATTACATTTGATTTGTTTTGTTCTACTTTCAGGTCCCAAACAGCATCATGTCTGTTAACATCTGGGTGGTTGCTGGTGATCAGTTCCTCATTCAACCAGAAAGCAACTCCATTCCCGATCACAACTTACCAAATGATCTAGAGATGAAAGAGGCACCAGATCCACTGCAGATTACAGAGATTAAGGAGGAACCAGAATATCAACCGATCAAAGAAGAACAAGTTGAGCTCAACATCTCTCATGAAGAGAAATCTGTAGTGAAGCAGGAAGCTGACACCTTCATGGTGGCTGCTGGTTGGGATGAAATATTCCAAAATAAAAATGAACAGATGATGGAGACAAAGGAGGAACCAGAACCTCCACACATTAAAGAGGAACAAGAACCTGTTCAGATTAAACAAGAGGAGGAGGAACTCTACAGTCATCAGAGTGAAGGTCAACTTTTAGTGAAGCAGGATTCCTCCAGAGAAACTCCTATACATGAGGAAAAATACCACAGTGAATCAGACCCAAACCAAGACCAGATCCACCCTTCAAACTCATATAGAGCTGAAAACCAACACCAGCACAGATGCAATAATGCACTAGATGGAGATGAAGAGCTGACAATCAATCAGAGCAACATTGTTGACCGTTCAAAACTGAAAAAGCTCCAGAAAAATATGTGTTCTTGTAAAATATGTGGAAAACGTTTCATCAGGAAAACTGCCTTGAAAATTCACATGAGAAACCACACTAATGAGAATCAACATACCTGCAAAGTGTGCAGTAAGCCGTTCAGCTATAGCAGTGGTTTGGTTCGGCACATGAGAACCCATACAGGTGAGAGACCGTTCTCATGCAAGACCTGTGGTAAAAGCTACATCAACAGATGTAGCTTAAGCGCACACATCAAAACTCACCTTGGAGTGAAGCCATTCCCATGTGGATTGTGTGATAAATCTTTCACCAAGAGGCAAAATCTGGTTTATCACATCAGACTCCACACAGGGGAGAAACCATTTCCGTGTTCAGCCTGTGGAAAAAGCTACGTAAGCAGAAAAAGCTTAACAAAACACAGCAAAACCCACATCACTGTTCATACAGACGAGAAGCTGTTCTCGTGCGGATCGTGCAATAAGACCTTCAGAAACAAACGAGGTCTGGATCGTCACAGCAAACTCCACACAGGCAAGAGGCCGTTCTCATGTTCCACCTGTGGAAAAAGCTACGCCAGTAGAGATGGCTTAAGAGCGCATTTCAAGGTTCACCTGCCTGAAAAGCCGTATCCGTGTGACCTGTGTCACAAAGCTTTCACGGTCAAGATCAACTTCGACCGCCACAGGAGGACGCACACAGGCGAGAAGCCGTTTTCGTGTGAAGTTTGTGGTAATTTTTTTATTGACAAGTTGGCTGTGGTTAAACACATGAGAAGTCACACAGGCGAGAAACCGTTTCAGTGTGATCTGTGTCCTAAATCTTTTCATACCAAATTTCATTTAGACTGCCACAGAAGGACGCACACCGGCGAGAAACCCTATGCGTGCGACCTGTGCGGTAAATTTTTCATAAGCAGAGCTAACGTGGCACAACACATGAGGACCCACAAAGGCGACAAGCAGTTTACATGTAAAAAGTGTGGCGAATCTTTCAGTGACAGGAGCAGTATGGCCAAACACCTGAGGAGTCACACAGACAAGAAGCAGTTTGCCTGCAATGTTTGTGATGCGTCTTTTACCGCCAGCGTTCAGCTGGACGATCACCTGAGGAGCCACACAGGTGAGCAAGTCTTCTCATGCGTCACCTGTGGAGAGAAGTTCTCCAAACCGTACAGTCTGACTATGCACATCCGGATTCATACAGGAGAAAAGTCGTACTCCTGTCAAATGTGCGGTAAACTATTCACTGCCAGATATAAACTGACTGCACATGTATGTGAAAATAAACCTTAGAAAGTTGTTCAAGTTTTAAAAACATCATTTGTTTGATCCACAGAAGGAATGTGACCCATAACTACTATACTTGACCTACTTCTGTTGTTTTACCTGTAAACCGTTTTATACCAAAGCAAACAGGGCAATTCAGTTTTTTTGTTTTACTTCTTGATTTTCATGGTATTAAAATATCCAAATCCATCCATCTGTTGATCATGCCCATGAATTTTGGCCCATTCAGCTCAAAGCACTGAAGATGAGCTGGACTTTGGTGCTCAAAGTCTATAAATTCGTGGAGACCCTGAAGGCTCAATTTTGAGACCACTCTGGTTTGCATTGTTCATGCTGCCAGTTTGTTTCACAGCATTAATGTTCCTTTCACTGCTTTACTAATGTTTGTAGATTTATTTGCCTTTAAAGGCAGAGAGACTCATTTCAGCTGTTGTGACGTTGCCTTAAAGATGTTAAAAAGTTTAGGTTCTTAAATCCTTTTAAATTAAAGGAAAGCTAATCAAAATCTTTATTTCCTATTCAATATTTTTCCAGTGCTTCAGGCTGTTTCTCATACTATTGTGAGAAAGTTTTAATTATCTTGTTTTGCTGCTGATTGGCCCAGAGGACTCTTGGAAATGAGATTTTTAATCTCAATGAGTTTCTCACTTCCTGGCTAAAGTTTCTAAACATTGAAAGAAATACCTCCACATACTTGAAGTTTTTTTATGTGTTCTGCTTTGTAGTAATTCAATTAAAGGAGGAAAAAAATTACTGAGTGTCTTGTGTAATTTTCTTTTTGTTGTTTTTTACAGTTTGGGTTCAAAGTGTCGAATGCTTTTGGATCATGAAATTAAAATAATTTCCAATTTGTTTCATGTGGAGAACCAAACAAAGCCAAGAAGAAGAAAACATACAGAAAGGATATTTTATAAGTATTTATTGCATTTATAGCTGTTCAGAAGAGGATTCTTTATCTGATAAACACCTGGAGGAAAATAACAGAAACAAAGCTTGTGAAAGGTATTTTTGGTTCGAGTGTGTTCTTCGTGCTTTAGGGACGTTACTGGAACAGTAACATAAATTCAGGAAAGTGCAGATATTAATTTTGCCACCTGCTCTGTTTTTTAGATCAAGAGAAAAATAATGGAAACTATTTTTTAGAACTTGGTACAACACTGCTGATCTAACGATGTTTTCTCTCAGGTTTGGATTCTTTTAGTAAATTAAACTCAATTTATTAAAAATGGTCAGATAGGACATGGTTTTAAATAAATACTGTTATTTTCTCCCACTTAATACCATATATTAACACAAGGTCTAGAATATGAAGACAGGAGTGGGTAGGTTCATCTAATGAAGAGAATCTGTGGTTTTGTTTTTTCAGTAAGCGGATATGCATGGTGCCAAGCTCATGGTTTTATTATCTAGGACCCTGCAGGGTTCATGTTCAGATTTACTCAAATCTGATTAATATTACACAAGACATGAAAACGTAGAGACAAAGCTGAAAAAAATTAGGAATAATGCAGTGTTGCAAAACGGCAACAAGTTTAAGTCCATATATGATAGAGTAGCAGCTTTATATCATCATCAACCGACAGTCAACACCAGTTGGGTAGTAACTAGTTACATTTACTCAATTACATTTAGTTGAGTAACTTCTTTGAGAAAATGTACATTTAAAAGTATTGTACTTTTTACTTGAGTGATTTTATTGTGAAATATTTCTACTCTTGAATAAAATGTCTGGATTTTCTACCTGCTGAATGAAGAACAAACTTGAACCACAAATCTACCAGACAGACCTGCAGCTTTGAGTGAGTTTTGAGTTTGAACTTGAGTGTACATTTTACCAAATACTTTTTACTTTTTCTTAAGTAAAAATATGTTTTAGAGCAGTCAAAAGGAATTTGGTATAATGAGGAAAAACAGGCAAATGATTGTAACCGAGCTTTGTTTAAAACTGGGGAAAAAACAGACAGGAAATGTGATTTTTTTTCCCCAAGAGACAGTAAAATAAGAGAAGGGAAATGGTACGCAGCTTCAGGATTACAAGTTACATCTGGACATACAAGACATTTTGGATAAACTCTCTATTTCTGAATCACATAGAGAATATAGATTTTGTGAGTTTTTAATTGTATTTATTTTATTGTTTAGTTTATAAATCTGTGGAATATGTTTATATTCACACCCAATTCCAGTAGGTGGAGATGATGCTCACCAAAACGTTGCTCACCAACCGTTAAAAAGAAGAAGAGCTCGGTAGGCATAGGCAACCGCCACAACCAAAAGCAGAAGAAGGAATTTTAACGTTGGTTTCGTTCTGCTCTTCGGTTAAACGTGTCTAATCTTCACATGTTGTCTCATTGTGAGCTCCGATAGTATTTGCAGTCTCACTTTAATGCCGATGTTTGTCTGTTTTAGCAGGTCAAACACCCTGAGTGAGACCAGTTAGCCTCCGGTCTTCCTGATAAGCTAACTGTCAGGAGAAGTAACCAGTTTCTAGTTCAAGAGAATCGCGAAAAAAAAACTTCACACGGATGTTATTGGACTCTTATTGGATGCTGTGCGGCTGCCAGCTCTTCTTCTAGGGAATAAAATCAACACTATCCGGTAAGAGAACCGTCTTTTGACCAACTAAGGCAACAAATGATTGCTAGCTTCTGCGTTGACTGCTAGGTGCTAAAACACGTCAGCGTGTCCGCCATATTGGGAGAGGAAACGGCGACAAGTTAATCAGTACAGGGAGCGGAAGTGCTGCGGTTTTAAGCCCCATTCAAAGCAATTTATGGCTCATATTGAACAAAGCTACGTGTCATACTAGTTAGATTTTTACAATTTTTAATTTTTGTGAAATAATTAAACGAAAACTTAATTAATTACGTTTATTTGTATAGCATATTATGTACCAACAAACCAGTTCACAGTCCTTTTCATCATAAAAACATCAAACACATAAGAAACATGTATAAATAAAATAACTATCCAGTAACACAGCTGACTTCCAATTTGTAAACCCTAACACATTTTTAAATCTGATTTCATTGCTGGAGATCTCATTTATTCCATTCTAAAGTTTTACTCCAAAAACAGATATCTTGCTAGTTATTTTAACTTTCTACATTTAGTAATCTTTATCTTTACCCCATAAATTGACCCCACCTTATAAGAGACAAACATTTGTATCTTTTAAATGTTTGCTGGGAATATGTTGTTTTTAGTTTGTGAATTTTGTATTTTCATCATTTAAATAACATTAAGTGGTAGTCATGCTATTTAACTGTCTAGAATATAAGGAAAATAGGTTTATGTGATTCTAATATTCATCTTGATCAATTATCTGTGTTGCTCTAAGAGAAATGCCCTATAATGCCCCAGACCTCAGTCCAGTAAGATAAACAAGATAAATTATTGCAGTGTATAAGATATGGAGCTAATAATGCGGTTTGCTCCCAATACTGACCCCTGGTGGACACAGTAAATTATTTTCTAACTTTAACTGTTGCCTCCTCCAGGAATAACTTCTTAACCATTTCATTTCCACTCCCTCATCTCATATTATTCCAGTTTATGAACTACAACAACATTTAATTTCCCTTTTGGATCAATAAAGTATTTTTGAATTTGAATTTAATTTGAATTTAGCAATTAGTATTTTCTGGTAAATTGCATTAAAATATTGTTTCATAGCAACATATTCACATTGATGCCAAACAGTTTTATCCACAGTATAAAAGACTAGGATACAAAACGAAATGCATCCCCAGAAAAATACATAGAAATGTGACTCTCCTAAGCAGTCAAAATTCAAAACTAATCAAAATTAGCATTAATATTTGGCTTATGAAATTACTAATGTTATGATTAATAATTTATTATTAATTAACTTTTTAATAAATTGAGAGTTTCTTTAGTTGAATAAGGGCACCATTCTACTCACCCAGGAATCATAAGTGAAACTTGCCAGTCTCTCATGAAGGAATGAAGTTATGCTACGACATTAAACTTGGCGACATTATTGATTTTAATGAGCAATATGCATTACAGGCAGGTTCTTTTATAAATAAGTCACATGGTAACATTACTAATATTTTTAAGTTACCTTGTCAGTCATGTTTCAACCCATTTGTCATCCATATGTGGCAGGCCTGAGGGATGTTGATGTCAGGGAGTCAAATTTTAACTGCATGATGGAGCGCTAAGTTGGCAAGCTAACATCAGTGTTAGCATAGCACTTCTGGCAGCAGAACTGCCATCAGGCTCTTATTGTGAAAGAGTGACAGATTGTTTTCTGTTGCACAAAAACAGAAAACAATCTAAAAACCCACATCTTAATAAATTAAAAAAATGCTTCCAAAAATTGTGAAAATATTCAGATGATAAAATGTGCTTCTGCTAAAGGCTTGAATTTTAACATGCTTGTGGGAAGATTTCATGGAGAAACGAAAGTGTTTGACCTTTTCATTGCATTTTTTCCATACAGATGATTTAAAAGCAAAATCCAAAAATTTCTCACAATTCACTAATTTGCACTAGAATTAGTAAAATATGACCAAATGTGTTTCTCCTTCTTGCTGGATTTTCTATAATGTTCTATTGAAGTCAAAGTGAAGAAGAAAACATTAGACAGTAGAAAACAGGAGGAACATGACTATGTTGCATAAACCTGAACTGGAACCTCTTAATACTTAAACATTTTAGGTGTTTTTATGCATTTTTGTTTTTAATTACCCAAAGCAATTCATACAAACACATTTTGTCAAAACCTTTAATACTAAAGTGTTTCATTTGTTGTTCCTCCAGGTCCCAAACAGCATCATGTCTGTTAATGTTTGGGTGGTTGCTGGTGATCGGTTACTCATTCAACGAGAAAGCAACTCAGTTCATGACCGCAACTTACCAACCAATCTAGAGATGAAAGAGGAACACAGAGAACCAGACCTAAACCAGATGAAGGAGGCACCAGAATGTCAACCGATCAAAGAAGAACAAGTTGAGCTCGACATCTTTCATGACGAGAAGTCTGTAGTGAAGCCGGATGCCGACACTTTTAGGGTGTCTGCTGGTTCTGATGAAATATTCCAGCGTAAACCTGAACTGCAGCAGGTCACGGGGATGAAGGAAGAACCAGAACCTGAACAGATTAAAGAAGAACTGGAGGATCTAAAAACTGTACAAATTAAACAAGAAGAGGAGGAACTCTACAGTGATCAGGATGAAGATCAACTTGTAGCAAAGCAGGATTCCTTCAGAGAAACTCCTGTTCATGAGGAAAAATACCGTAGTGAACCAGATCCAAACCAGGACCAGATCCACCCTTCCAACTCCCCAGAAGCTGAAAACCAACCACAGGATGGATGCAATGATAAAGACCTGGTGTTAGATGTAGATGAAGAACTAACAAAGAATCAGAATGACAGTGTTGAACATGCTAAAGTTAAAAAGCTAAAGAAAAGCATGCGTTCCTGTAAAATATGTGGAAAACATTTAATCAGGAAAACTCTCCTAAAAATTCACATGAGAATCCACACTGGTGAGAAACCGCATACCTGTCAAGTCTGCAGTAAGTCGTTCAGCTTTAGCAGTCATTTGGTTCGTCACATGAGAAATCACACTGGTGAAAGACCATTCTCATGTCAGACTTGTGGGAAAAGCTACATCAACAGAAGTAGCTTAAATGCACACATCAAAGACCATTTGGGAGAGAATTCATTCCCATGTGGATTGTGTGATAAATCTTTCACCAAGAGTCAAAATCTGGTTTGTCACATGAGACTCCACACAGGCGAGAAACCATTCTCGTGTCCAATCTGCGGAAAAAGCTACGTAAGCAAAAGCAGCCTGAAAAAACACAGCATAACACACAGCATAGTCGACACAGGCGAGAAGCTGTTCTCATGTGGCTTGTGTGACAAGTCTTTCAAAAACAAACGAGGTCTGGTTCGTCACGTCAAACTCCACTCAAACAAGAGGCCGTTTTCATGTCCCACTTGTGGGAAAAGCTACACAAGTAAAGGCGCTTTAAAAGAACACTCTAGAGTTCACCTCCCTGAAAAGCCGTATCCGTGTGACCTTTGTGATAAAACCTTTGCAGCCAAGATTAACTTTGACCGCCACAGGAGGACTCACACAGGCGAGAAGCCATTTTCGTGTGAAGTTTGTGGGGATTTTTTTATTGACAAGTTGGCTGTGGTTAAACACATGAGAAGTCACACAGGCGAGAAACCGTTTCCATGTGAAATGTGTCCTAAATTCTTTCATACAAAATTTAATTTAGCGTGTCACATGAGGACTCACACTGGTGAGAAACCCTATCCTTGTGACCTTTGTGATAAATCTTTCATATCCAGAGGTAACTTGGACCGTCACCGGAGGAGTCACACAGGCGAGAAACCATTTTCATGTGAAGAATGTGGTAAATTATTTACCAACAAGATGTCTATGGTTAAACACGTCAAAAATCACACAGACAAGAAGCTCAAGAAGAGGTTTTCTTGTAATCTTTGTGAATCGTCTTTTAGTGACAACATTCAGCTGGACAATCACCTGAGGAACCACACAGGTGAGGACGTCTTCTCTGTGGAAAGAAAGTCTCCAAACTGTCCAGTTTAACAACCGGACTCATACAAGCACTAATTTACCTGATTGGTAAATTATTCACTTCCAGTTATAATCTGACTGGATATGTATGTAAATAAGCCTTAAAAAGAAGTTTGTAGAATATCTTTTGACAAGCAGAGGGAATGTGACCCTGAGTTATTATTACTACTTATGTATTATTGTTTTCATCACTTTGTATTTTAATGATTTTACCTGTAAAATGCATTTCATGCTAATTGAATTGCCCTTGCTTATGCAAGGGGAAATCAGTATACTTTTGTGGTAGAAAACCAGGAGCTGTCTTAACTGTAAGCTAATTATAATATAGAACGCTATTTAAAATGTTTATCTTTTATTAGCCCCGATTATTTTTGTCTTTTATATCAAACCTGATTGCAAATAGTTTCTAGTTGTTCAAGAAGCATCTTTTATTCTGTAAATTTGCTGGAACCCTTAATCTGAATTATTTTTGCTGTTTCATGATTGTTTTTCTGCATAATAAATGTGTATGTAAAAGAATTTAACTTTTTTTGATAAAACTGTTTAATGTCAAAGTGAATATTGATTTCTGCAAAAATAATTACAATTCAATAATAGTTAATAAAAAATAATTGATTGCATAACTTGAGTCCAGTGAGTCTGTAAAATAACTCATCTGTCTGGAAGGTCCATTCACCGGTTCATCAGTATTCCTGGCTACTGCGTGAATATTAAAGAACGACCAAGCAGAGAAAAG